AATTTTCTACATAATCAGAACTGAAATAAAAGAGAGAAATGAATTGTAAATCACATGTACAAATGACACCGATGCGCCACAGCAAACACGGCAAAGCATCATGAAACAACACAAACAGAGGAACAACACTAACGCGTTTCAGATGAGAGAATGATCAAGTCATCTGGCGAGTACAAAGACAAACACGGTGTGAACATCAGGTGCCTCAAATGAACTGGATCTAATGAGATGCGTCCCAGCTGGCGGTGAAGTGAGCTGGGGGGGGTCGGGATCTGCGCAGGACCGAGGGCTTCACCTTGGAAAGTCGCCAAGACGTCTAAAGGATGAGGAATAAAGAGCAGACACATGAAAGCCCGCAGCCGGCCGAGAAACATAAAACCGGAGCTGATGGACACAGCAGAGATAACGATCAGAACACTGGGAAGTTCTTGCACCGACGTTGACCTAGACGGTTGCATCTAAACGGACTTTCAACGCAGTCTGAAAAAAAAAAAAAAAACACAGAGGACTTTCGCTTCTTCAAGAATTCAATTTCAGGAGCTGTCAAGCAGTGAAGTATGAACACAAAGAAAAGAAACAGTGCAAGGAAATTATGTTTTGCTTTCAAATAATGTTATCAATTTCAAATTAGTGTCAGCTAAGACAGCATTGCTTTTGGTAGACTGAAGCAAAATAAGGCCAGAAATATTTAAAACAAACTGTAATGCTTAGACTAGACTGGAAGTTTGATGATTTTGTTTTTTAAGTTAAAGGTTTTCAACGTGAGCCGGCTCACACAAAAATCTTCAAGTTGACGTCAAGTAGCCGCATAAAAACAAAAAAATCAACTTGGTACTTTGGACCTGATTTATGCACCAGTGTAAATCATGAAATCCTACAGTTTTCCCGACAAAGACAGATTTGCACAGGGGAAAATCTGAAAGCCACGTCTGGAACAAAGTTGTGGATCTGGTTGCAGATTAAAGATGAAGTTGGAGGTTTAACATCTCAGTCCTCGTGAGGCCAGTTTTGATTTCAGGCTATCGTCGCATCCGTTGTGTTGTTTGTGTTCACAGCAACAATATTTACATCCCTCTCACTTGAACGATCGAAAGAATCAGCGAAGCCCACCTTTTGAGCATCGTCCCAACCTCCTGCATTCGACTCTGGAAATGCAGCAGGAAACTCGGTTTGACACTCATTAACTGTGTGGCTGCTCCTCGGCTCTCTACTGTGGGAGCCATGCGTCTTCTTTTGCTTTGCTTTCATTTACTGCTACCTTGCTTTTCTGCTTGGACATGCAGAGACACAATTTACTTATGTTCTTCCGCACGTTGAGTTAAAAAGCGGCGTGGGTTTGGTTATGACCGCAAAAATTGATGCCTCTCTTTGCTCGGCAAGAATAGAGACGCTTTCTCTTCACCAGCAAAATTACTCTCCTTTACTGTTTAATGTTTGAAAAACTTGAGTAAGATTTTACTGTAATAAAAATTAAAGAACGAATCCTTTAGGTAACCATTTTACTCTGACGGGTTAATGTGCAAAACGTCATGTTTGTTTTATCCTGATAAGATTCCCAGCTTAGAAGAGGAAAAATACTTTGAGCGATTGCCATTAATTTGCTTGAAGTTGCCCTTGTTCCTAAATACCATCAGAGTTGGAAACATATAGAGGAAACCATCACTTCCCACCAACAATCCGTTCATTTGACAAAGTATTTACAGTTTTCGAGAGATGTGCTGTAGCCAGAAATGCAGCTAAATTAGCGAGAACCATTTTGTTAAACAGAGCTTTTTCTTCCCCAGCAGCTTGCTCCGAGACCAACCACCTGCCAGCTGGCGCCCAGCCGACTTGTCGACGTGACCTGAAGTGACCTTACATGCACGGAGGTGGTGAAACAAGAAAGCAAAGGCAGCTTGCGAGCTGCCGCCGCAGTCAGCGGGCGGCGGGGAAACGGGATGAGGATGTCAGCGTGCAAGCTGTGATGAAGCGCGGCTTCGTAAGATCCGGGGCATGTAAGGCGTGCTCATGCAGGTATTCACCACCCACATCTGGTCACATAATGCCAACCCAGTCCCAGCGGGGACTGGAACCGATCCAGCTTCACGTTCTGTCAGAGTCGCAGCATGTGACTGATTAATGAAGCCGCACGCTGTCAAAACGTGGCACTTGCACTCAATAAATGGCATACATGCGGCACACAGCCTTAGCTTCTGCAGGGATCCAGCGCCGTGAAAAGCTTTTAACTGTGCACCGCTGCTTTTATCCAACTGCCATGAGTTTGGTTATTGTACAAAGTAACATCGACAGCTGGTAAATGGAAACAGAAAACAACAAATATGTCCAGTTTAGAAATCCCATTGTTATGCAGGGAGCCTGCAGTGCATTAGCAGGTACGACATAAACCCATTGTGGCTGATGGGCTGGAATTTATGCATTGAAACTGCTAAACACATAGCAATATATACACATGTTCAACATAGAAATGAGCTAAATGGCGCCATAACTCATTACATAGCATACGGTCCTCTGCACATTGTTTGCATGTCTGATAAAGGTGCATTAAAAGTATTATAGTAAATTATTATCTTTTTCAGCAAAATCTCATAATCTCAGACCAAAAGTATCTAAAAAGCCAAATATCCAGCATGAACTAAAACCTCAGAGTGGAAAAAGTAATAATATTCATACAAAGCTGCGGGTGCAGCAACAATCCAAACGGTTCCTGAAGCAAATGTAACCAAAGGGTTTCTGTTGAGGGTCCAACTGGAAAATGAAGACTGAAGGAACTCATTGTGTGTTAATTTAACCGATTAATTTATCAGTCTGAACAGCAAAGCCCTTAGCTTTTCGATTTCATTCAAGAGCACTAAGATACGTTTGTGTTGTTTCACGGGGATCGGTCTGTCTCTTTCAGTAAAATCAGATTGAACCTTTGAAGCAGAACATAGAAGATTTCTTTTAGCCACCCTTCAAATGAATGTGCCATGGAAAAGTTGCAAATGCTTGACATTTTCGCATTAAGTCCTGTATTAAAGTGCTAAATGTGGCAGAGAAAAATCCCAAACGTGCAATGCACGAATTTAATGGCAAAACGTGAGACCCCAAGACCTTGTGAAAATAATGACGTGTTTATTTTGTGCTTTCACACCATAGATATTCATGCATTAGTAGATTCATGCACTTGATACAATGACAGATGTGCTCTGTGTGTGAATGGATGTGGGCGTAGAAAGTGTATTTTTACACGTCTGCCAAACGCTTCAAAAGAGTGACGGCTTTGAAGCACCAAAATGTTGTCCTGCCATCTCTGCAAACATGCATTCAAATTGTGCATGGGACGAATCTAATAACGTTATTATAAAAGGTGTTTTAAACCTCGAAGATAAGACGGAAAGAAAGAGAGCGTGGGTTTGAAATGTGCCATTGCACAAGAGTCCTTTGCAGCAAAAGGGACAATACAGTCAGCTAGAAGGTCATTCCAGCCTCTTCACTTCTCTCTTATGCACGCTTTCATAAATATCACAGATTTAATTACCAGATTAACAAAGTCACGGAAATGAAAAATATTGTTAAAACAGCAACATAGAGGGATCAGGGGAACAGATTTCCACAGCAGCAGAACCAGAAAATTAGAGACATGTCACTGTGACATTCATATTCAAATTTAGCTCAGTTTTCCCTCCCCCCCCCACAAAAGAGGAAATGTTCACAGCTAAATCCGCATGCGGAGTAAAAAGACTAACTGCGACTTGAAACAACTCCAAGAAAAGGTAACGAGAGACTCACAGCTGTGTCAAAGTGTCTTTAAAAGGAGCACACTCTAAATGTAGACGTGTTGTTACTGTTCTGGCTTAACCTCAACTTCTGTCTCTGCTGCAAGTAAAAACCGATTCTGAAATTAATTAGAAAAATCAGGGAAACATAATGAAAAGAATGGCTGTGGAAGGCCAGCTTTGTGCTAAAAGGTCCTTTCGGCCCAATGCAGCTGATGACATGATGAGACTGAACGACACTTTGCTGTTTTTGCACCAGAGCTTTTCCATTTAAGGACAATAATGTCGTCTCTATGCTATTCTATTCTACTCAAGAACCGTGCCAACATTCAGAGGAAAACTATTTTGCCTTATGTAATCTAAAATTCTTCCAAATCTTCAGGGAACTTTTGTGCTCTCATGCAGAACAAAAATAAACTTCTTTTGGAATAAGTAATGTCCACGGCCCTCAGTTTGTGTCTTTCTTCCTCGCCGGGTTTGGAGGGAGACCTTCTGCCTGAACTGGTGGTTTTTGGCTTGATTCCTCTCCTCCCTCCCAAGATCCCCATTTGGTTTGGCTTGAGCCTGATGGTTTGTTAGCTTTGTTTTGGCTTTTACTTATTTTATTTGGTTCTCCACGAGCTTTTGATGAACCCAGATTTGGTTTTTCAAATTAGATATTACTTTTCAGGTTATATTTCTGTGGTATAATTTATGTCACTCCACCAAACAAGCTTGGATGTAACGGTAAGTAAAATAGCGATTAAAAAAAAAATCTTAATAGACAGGAACAATCAAGTTGACTTTTCTTAATCCTAAGAGATTGAAAACAGAGTTGTTACATACAAAATCACATATTTACATGCGTGGTATGGTACTGTAAGGCAGCCAATTAGATTTCACCTTTTACTGTTTGAAATTGGGCTTCTGTCTCTTTAAGAAGCTCCTGCTCTTGACAGCACTCTGCCTTCAGAAAGTAATCTCTATTAAGCATTTAACAACATTTATACCAGCGAGCTACTTCTTGGAAAGAGTGATTTTGGTATTTGGAAACTTTTTCTATAACCTGATAAAACCACAATAAACACTTGGTGGAAAAAAAAAAAAAAACACCAACAAAAAAAACCAAACAAATTATTTTAATTGAATTTCTTTTACAAACGTAAAAAAAAATTTAAAAGAAACAAAAAAAAAAGAAGAAAGAAAACAATAAATTAAAAGTTAACTTAAGGCAGAGTCAAAAGAGGAAATGGGGAAACCACTGACCTTAGCAAACAGCGCCCCCTTGGCTGCCAGTGCGTCCTCTCCTCTCCCGTTGGGGTAACACTCATACCGAGCATCCAGGATGGGGTAGCGACTGGCTAGCAGCAGGCCACTGTTCAAAAACTTAAACCTGGAACAGCAGCCTTTCCATCCGTAGCGACCGACGTCGCTCAGCACGTAGGGGAAGTAGCGATGAAGCTGACGTCGAAGTCTCGCTGTTGCTCCGTGGTCAAAAACTTCCTGCAGAGCTAGAAAATCCAAGTTGGCAGGGAAAAAGGCAGAGATCTCATGGTCGAACGTTTCGTCTCCGTGCCGACGCTTCCTTCCAGGTCTCTTGAAGATGGATGTGCGCGGTACGTGAGAGAGGGTGTTGTTGGAGGATATCCCTACTGCTGTGTCGCCTCCGTGGTAGCGCGTGAGGGATTCGCGGGAGGCAGTCATGCTGCCCGTGTCGACTCCTGCCAGATCTCGATGGTTTCCAGTCTCGGCCTCCTCCTCCTGGGGGTCCGGTTCTGGGGCACTGATGCTGATCTGAACCCCTGAGGTGTGAAGCGGACACTCTGTGGAGGGATCTTTCTGTGTTACCTCCCCGTGCATGGGGCAGTCATGATGGCCAGAGTCATTCTGACCTTCTGTTGAATGCACTGGGCAGTCAGTGGCGTCGCTCGAGGGGTGGACGGGACAGTCTGAGCTGTTGGTTGTTCCAGCCAGATGGAGGGGGCAATCTGCCGTGTTGTCTGATCCATCATGGTGAACGGGGCAATTGGTAAAACTCTGGTCTTCCGAAGGTGGGTGAACAGGGCAGTCGGTGGTATCCGTGGGGTGAACAGGGCACTCTGTGACTGGCTCTATTTCAGTTTCAGCTGGGCCATTGGTGGTGTGGACTGGTTCTGGACGCTGGTCTAGAGAGGACGTGCGGCGGAAACCAGTGGCAAGACTGCTGAAGGACGCCGCACTGAATAACAGAATGAGAAGCGAGACAATTTAAAGGCCTGGTCCCGACACCCAGCTCATAAAACTAACCCACAACTCAATTTCTTTTCCTGATAAACTGTCTAAAGGCAATTTAAGGTTCTATCTTTATGTTTCTGTGCGAATTCTTATGTTTTTGTACAACTGGTTTAGTTTGGGATTATTTTGGCTAAAACCGTTTCACTCCTCACCTCCTTCGGTCGAACGGTTCTTAGACAGTTGAATTTTCCTTTTGGCTGCAGCCTTATGGCTTGGTGCAACTCTGCTACAATTGGGAATTAAAGCACCGCTGGAGAGGCTGATGGCCGCTCTCGCTACTTGCTCAAGACATTCAGGCTGCAGCCGCTCTGCAGAGGGTTGTCGCCATGTAAGTCTCCAAAAACACAGGAAGAGAGCTTCTAGATTTATCAGTAGTAGGTGTTTTGAACATAAAGTCACTGGAGGAGTCTAAAAAATCTGTATACATTGACGACAGTGCTTCTTTCGCCTTGAGCCCCTCGCCCACTTCATCTCCACACTCAGCTGTGTCTGACTGTAAAGATGTCTTTGCCAGAGGAAAGGTTTAGTTTCACTTTAAATGTTTTTCAAAATAATAAAATTAAATCAATCCATCCATGGAACTCTTCCAATGTATAACAATAATCTCTGCAATGCACCAAACCTTTGCAGAAGTAGAGTCCACTCACCTGATGGATGTGTTGGTTGGCGAGTCGATGTATATTTTAATCTGGGGTCGACTCGCGCCGTTGCGGATTCTCTTGCCCAGCTCGCGTGCTCTTCTCTGGGTGTTTGATAAGTTATTGAACCGGGCCAGGGAGTCTGGGAGGAGACAAACATTGGCGCTGCAGAAACAGAAGCTTCTGCCTTGTGGCCTCCATTCTCCTGTTCCAGCGCCGCCTGCTTGACCTTGCTCTGCCTGGTTCTTGTCTGGTCTGGATACAAAGAAGATGCCCCCAAAATTCAAAAGTGTGAAAAACATTTGGGAAATCAGCTGCGTTGTGGATTGTTGGATCCCTTCAAAAATAGGCGAAATGTTAACATTTTGCCAACAAAACTTTGTCATATTTGGTGTTTTCTAAGGGGCTGTTTAAAGATCACAAAATGAACAGTGCCTTTGTGTTGCCACAGTTTGCTACTCAAATGTTGCCAAACAAAACAAACCAGAAAAGACTTTTCCACAAAGCAATCATATTGTCTCTGAGACAACATTTCTCCTTAATAGTGCAAAAAATTAGCTGAATCAATGCTCACCTTTGATATGTGTACAGGTATGGCTGGCGGACAGCCTGCAGGGGGGCCCAAATGACAAAGCCCAGCAGAGCAAACGGCAGGGATGCGAGCAGGAGCAGCAGATAAAGCGGTGCAGCAATCAGGACACAAAGGGTGAGGAAGGAGCAGGGGTCTTGGGACCGCTGGCGCTTCTCCAGGGAAGTGGCCACGCAGGAGGCCAGGAGCCGGTCCAGGAGCCAGTAGCAGGGGAACACCAGACTCCATGACAGCCCATCCAGGAAGTGCAAACAGGCACTGGAGTAAGGGGTGGTGTGGAGGACCATCTCTTCCCTTCTATCTCTGTTCGTTCACTCTTCTTTTGTCCTCTCTTTCACTTTCTCCTCACTTCTCCACACCCACATACACTCAGCAACCGAGCAACAAATCTGTCTCAGTAATTACATGAACAAAAACGAGTAAAAAAAAAAAAAAAAAAAAAGCAAAGCAATCACAATCCAGCTTACGCCCTCCCCCCTCTTTGGAGAAAGGAACACTACATGGTTTGAATGATTTCCATCTGCAGGTGGAGGCTTTCCTCAGACTCACTACCCCTCCCTCAGTTACTGCATCCTCCACAGGAGGGCTCAAGAAGGACAGGCTGAAGGTAGCTTGTTGCCATGATGAACACCGTTTGCTTGATGTCAGGTCTATGATTGCGAGGACTCCAACAACCTCTGAAGGGGGCATCCGTTAAACATCACGATTTCCTGTGGCCCTGGAGAAAGTGAGGGAATCAATAAGGAGGGGAGGGAGAACGGAGGAAAAACAAGTCAGTGACTGACTTGCTCTCATGTCTGTATCCTAGGAGGAGTGCACATTCATTCAAAAATAGCTATCTCAGTGTACAAGTCCTTCTAAAGAGTCTCGCACTGGATGAAGCCGTAGTGATAGATTTCACATTTCAGTCCCACCAGCATGAAATGTACTGCACTCTACATTGGCAATCAAACAAAGCTCACCTGTTAATTGTTCAAAACAAAGTTGAAACTCAGATAATGTATTGCGATTTTGCAGTTTTCTTCTAATGCAAATAAAAGGCATTAGAAGAAATGCCTCCATTACGTTACATCTGCAAAAGAAAAAAAAAGTGGCCTCCTGTTGGGAGGGATAATTTCCTAATGTCAGCACATAAAAGTTGCAGGGTAGTGAAATCATTTAAGATGATTCAAAAGCATGCAGAGTAAAACAAATGTATTCATGTGGATGTCTTGACAACTTTGAGTGTAACTATATTTTCAGGTTGAAGGCAATGTTAGCTTTTCTGCCTTTTCAACAAGGAAATCCATCACCAACAATTCCTGTGACATAAACTTCAAATGAAGCAGTTCTTAAAATTCTTCTTTACTATTCAGGTTTAACTGGTATTTAGCCAACCCTGACTTCCCACCTCACTGAGCTACAACTGTGACGTGAGTCAGAGATTAATTTGCCTTTTCAAAATAAGAAAGAGCAGAGATCGTCCCAAACCAGATGTCAAAGCTGCTCCACATCTCACATCACAATCATAAGCGCATCATCAGTGTGTGTAAAAATTAGCATTTTAGTCATATAAAGGTCAAATGCAGGTCTCAGTTTCCTGCATTTTGCATCTCTGTGTTTGTGTATGCAGGGCCTTAAAGCACTAAAGTTGCATTTCTCCAGTTCTGTGGCATCTTGGTGTTTTGCGCTCTGAATATAGCATATGAATCGGAAGCAAGGGTGTGGATTTTACATTGATTAGCTGAAATTGTTAGTTCATATGAGTAGCACATTGATTTCACCATCCCTCTTTTTTCATATGAAAGAATTAGCATTGTTACCCAGGTCGCTTAGATGATGGCGTCATCTTCTGTTTTACTTTTCAGCTTTTATGTTGAGGTAATTAAAGCCTCTGCATAATCATGTGTGAGACTAGGATTGTGAGATAGCTGCTGCAAAATCTGAGCTGCGGTTGGGTTCGTTCTGCAGCGGATGCAAACAGCGGTACTCTTGCAGTCAAATATTTTGATATTTGTAGGAAACTGTGGCAACTTGCAACACATTGCTGCAGTATTTTCTGGTCGCAGCTTGCAAGGCAGTATTTTCCCACCATATGCTGTCTTCCAGTGGCATTCCAGCAAAAGCTGATATCAACAGCGTGACGAGAGTGTCACCAACTAAAGTGGCCATGTGTACCCAGTGAAAAAGACTGTCAATTATTTGGCTTACAGTCATCTATTGTTATTATTATTATTATTATTATTTTTATTATTATTATTATTATTATTATTATTATTATTATTTTTATTATTGATTCTTCTGCTTTTAACACAAGAATGGGAACAAATTTTACTAATGCAAATCAGCCGTAAGCAAATTAATTCTAGTATTTCTAGTCAACAGACGTTAGTTCATGAACAAAGACTGCACTGGATTTTTGGCCAAGCTGACATAACCCACAAAGACCAAAGGAGCGGCAGCACCTTATCTGCAAACACCGCCTCATCTACAGCCAGACTATTTTAGTTCAGCGATTTATTTAATCTTTGTTGTTTCAAGCAAGCCGTCATCAGCTCGCTGAGTGACTCAATTTTCCTCCAAACCGCACAAATTATCGTTTGTGGTATGCATATTTTATATTAAATGTACATCGCATATCAAGGCAAAAAGCTCAAAAATAAATCAGAAAAATTGTATTTTTTAAAAATATATATTTCTGCCCTGTCTCTTTAGAAAAGTAACTACGCATTTTTCAATAAAAAAAATAAAAAATAAGATAAAGCAAGAGAAAGGAAAAGAAAATCACATAAAAGGCTAAGCTTTAGAAGGAAGTTACTCTGTGTGAGCCTCTCGTCCTCGCAGACTGTTGTTTTCTTCCAAAATGAGGCTTGTTTGTTCAATAAAGTGACTTCCTATGAATAGCACATCTCTCTCACATGAACAACGAGCGCTGGCTGCTGCATCCCGGTAACCTTCTCCACACTCCAGCCCTGCTGTGCACAACAACGGTTCTTCCTACGACGGGTGATCTGTCTGCAATGTTGTATGACTGACTTGCATCCTGCTACTTTCGGCTGAGCAGAAGACGCAGTGAGGTCTGCAGACTCATCACCACACCAGGCTGACTTATTGTGGTGCTTCTATAGATGGTTGTTTTGCTTGTTTGGATTGTCTGAATTGTCTGAAGATCATCTGACTGCACTTGATCATGCAGCCTGTGCTGCATTGTTTGTTTAATTTCTTCTATATGCCAAATTTACAAATGTGTACCATCTGTTCTAAAGTGATAACTTTATGAAAATGTATTCAGCTCCATAAAAATTCAGCTGAAAAACAATTAAAGTCACAGTCCCCATTGCTCCTCCATATCATCCACATTATGATTTAAGTTTTAACAGTTTTGCTTTTAGTTTGATTCAAGGTAAACTGTGATTTTTCTGTCCAGTTTCCACAACCGTTGTTTTTTCTCTGCACATATTTGAGAAGGCCTACAGTAGACTTAATAGTATCTTCAGGGAATCATTTCTGTCCAATTATCTACAGCCAGATTGCATTTGATTCTATTCTTATGCATTATTTTATTACTCAACATTTAATTTTACCAAGTGGAGTTTTGTTTAGTCTGTTCAGCACTGAAACATATCACAGACGCAGGAAAAATGTGTATAAAAAGGAGTGCATTTGTGAAAGGAAGGCATTTAAAACTTGGTAGTGTCCCACAAATAAAGTGACTGTAACCTTATTAATGTAGCTTTACGGATATAAAGTGTATTTCCTAAACTAGACTCCTTTTACTTTAACTTAAGAAGACTGTATGAATAAATGTTTCATCTAATTTTATTTAAAGAAGAATTTCATCATGCTGATACAGTTAATCATTTTATAATGCAGGTGTAGCATTTTCAGAGTACATACAGTCATGTCCTTTGTTGCTAAACAGGTACAAATACATGTATTTCAAAAATGAGGAGAATTTCAAGAGTGGCGAGATTGTAACACAAGTTTCTGGAATAAGCTGAAACGGCTCCATAACTGGGTTCACTCGTGCTGAGTAGCTGCATTACCAACATCACTGGATGGCATTTCAAGGTACAAAACTCAAAGTGAGTTGAAGGTTAAAGCAGGTCAGCTACTTCGCTGCACTGGGGGGTTTTGTCCATTGCTTCCTTCTGTACTCACAGCAGAATTAAACACTGCGACCCACAGCATTAAAGACTTCCACTCTTCAACACGGCTGTCTTTCCTTTAATCGTCTGACGGATTTTCTCTTTGGTAACAGCAGACAGCATCAACAACCAATCCCCGAAAAATACCCGTCAATCAGAACAGATGAATATCAACAGGTGCAGACTGTCAGTCTTGGCCTTATCAGGCTAACTGCAGCTGTGCATAGTTTATACTGGGCACTAATATGAAGAAACAGAAAAAAAGTCATGATGAAGTGTGCCATGAAAAACTCATACTGCAAAAACGTCCTTTGCAACCTTTGCAGAAAGTAAACCTAAAAGTTCACCGCTTGACAGATGTGTGATGTAAGGAGTCGGTTCATATTCTCCTTTTGATTTATGAAAAAAATAGTGATATAAGGGAATAAAAATGATTTCTACAAGGAGAGAAAATAAGCTCAAGCCACAAAGTAACACAAAATGCTGTTTAAGATGAAAAACCTGTAAAATGATCTGTAGAAACATAAGCACAACAAAAATATATCTGCAAAACAACTACAGTTGCTCTATTATTTCCTTTCTCAAGAAAGGAAATACACTGAGTGTCACAAAAAGGCGTCTGGTGGGAACAAAGAGCATCCATGCAGATAAAAAGGAGGCAGAGGTTCAACAAAACTGTGAGGATCTTGGGCTGTTTGAGTTGGTTTTGAGTCTGTTTTACGTACTTTAGTTCAGCCCTTTCTTAATGATTCACCCTCACAGTATTAAACCCTGCTCCCTTATTCACACTCCTCCCTGCTTCCTCCTGTTAAATTCCCTCATATCCGTGGTTTCTTTCCCGATGAGACTCTGCTTGCTTTTTGTTCCCGGTTCTTGCTTTTGTTCTGCTCTGGCTCCCTGCATCCCCCATGATTTTTGTTGTCTGTTTTTAGTTTTGCCATTAATAAACATTCAACATGATCCATGCTAACAGCTCCCATCTACAGTTTGGGTCTACCAACAAACACTTCATGGCAAAAATAAATAAAGTAATTAAAAAAAATAATAAATTAAAAACTAAACCAGGAAGCTACACAGAGATCTCTAAATACAAAAAATGTAACTACCATTTACATGATCAATACATAACATGAAGGGTGACTATAGTTCTCTGACAATATGCTCCTGGTCACAGAATGCCACAGAAAATATGGGTATGAATTTAAAAAATAGAAACAATTGTGACGGTAGTTGAATTTAAGGTTTACAATTACCAATTTTGCAGAATTAACAAATGTACACTTCTACTCGTACAACTACTATTGCTGAAACACCTAAATTATTGTATTCTACAGTAACCAGCAACTGTAAAGAGCAGCGTAACACAACGTGATACACCAATAACTGTAATAACAACTTGTTGACCAAATAAAATGAATTGAAAGAATAAAGAAACACATTCTGAGAAACGTCACATTTTTAACATGGTGTGTTGCACACATTTGGTTTCCATTATCATAATAGACCTTTAGCTCAGACATTATTCAGTTCTTTACTTCTGTGAAGTGGCTTTTAAGAGCAGTTGATATTTTGTTTGATTATTTAATTACTT